AATAGAGATGGGACTAGTTCATGGAAATAATTTCATGGAAATTAAACATGAGAGACAAAATGTTTGTGGGCAGAATTGTTGCTTTTATCATAATTCACACTACTAATTGAAAGTGCTTTTTGTATTTTGTGCCCCCACTCCCCCTGGCATTTGACCAAAAATAGTAGTATAATAACAAATAAGCTTATTTGTATTTTCTAGTGGCCCTGTGGATCAGGACTGGGAACCACAAGGTTCAAACCCACCAGCTGCTCCTTGGAAACCCTATACAGGGTTACTATGAGTCGAAATAGACTCAATGGCTCTTATTAACAACAATAATATATATATTCATTTGCACCCCATAACCTCTGTAATTATTTGTGTAGCAGATATATTCTTTGATTTAATGTCACAAATTGTTTTTCTTCCTTATCTCTCCTATTTCTTTTTTATATTACAGTTCAGCACAGAACCTTACAAACATAAGACTCAATAAATATGAATTGAATTATATTATGTCCTTTTCGTAGACTAAATTTAATATGAAAGTTTATACGTACAGGAGGTAAATATATTGTCTTATACAAAATTGAAAATAAAAATGGGACTTTTATATTAGTGGAAGATTTTTATTAGAAACAGAAATAAAGTTTTATTTCTTCAAAAAGTTCATGGAAAAATGCAATGAAAAGGTAATGAAATTTTCTCACTAACTTTTTGAAGTCTCCTTGTCTTAAGTTTTGGAGGGATAAAATAAATTCAATCCTTGGATGTTTGTTCTGCCTAAGCTTCTTTCCGGAGTCCTGGTATGGCCCTGCAGGATAAGCACTGGTCTTTAACCACAAAGTTGGTAATCCAAGCTCACCTTTCACTCTCTGGAAACCCTAGATAGTGTTGCTCTGAGTGAGAACCAACCGGGAAGTGACACTTAACAACAACAGGGTTCTTTCCTAGATGATTGTGTAAAACTCTGTGAATTTGAAAATATTACATATGGACGAATTAAACTTCTTCCTTGAAATTGAGCACCAAACTTGCATAGCTAGATGCTTGCTTTTTTAGTTTTACATTTCCATTTAATTTGCTGAGGAGCATTTCAACCAAATTTAGGATTTTCTCTTTGAATCTTGTCCTCCATAGTCTTCCTCTTTTGAGTAAAAGGCCATCTGTCTTTCCATTTGCTAAAAAAACCATTGCTTCAATAATATGTAAATTCACTTTTTCTTGAATTTTATGTTCAGCCCATCATGAAATTCTTTCTGCCAGATCTATTTTGGAATAACATTCTGAATCTGACCACCTTTCTCCACTTCTGCCCCTTTGTTCTGGTCAAGCCACTAACAGTTCTCCTCACCTGATTAATTAGCCTTCTTGCTTCTAACCTTGCCGTCTTGTAGTCTTTTCTCCACCTAGCAGCAAGAGTGACTCATTTAAAATTTAGACACTTCTCTACTGAGAACCTTCCCAAATCTATAGGGCCCTACATGAATTGTTAGACCATTTCCTTCCTATACCCCCATTACTATGATTTCATTTCCTCCCACTACTTCCTTCCCCTATTTGGCTCCAGATACAGACGTCTACTTGTTACTTGCTGTTCTCCTTACATGCCATACAGGGACTTTTTTACTTGCTATTCCTTCTAACTGAAATGCTCTTCTTGTACCTCATTGAGGTTTCTGCTCAAATTATCAAATGTGACCCTCTCCTAGAGGTCCTCCTGGACTGTACTATATAAAGTAATAAGTTTCAACTCTATCACTTTCCCACCTTATCTTGCTTTGTTTCTTTTTTTCTTTTATAACTGTTATCATCACAGGACAGTTACCTTTTTGTTATATCTTTCCTCCAAATAGAATGTCAGCTGTATGATAGTTTGACTCGCTTGTTCACTGCTATATTCTTAGAACCTAAAATAACACCTTACACATAGTTGGCTGTTAGTTAATATTGGTTGACTAAGGAGCTCTGGTAGAGTAGTGATTACGAATCTAGCTCAAAGTCACCAGTTCCATTGAAACTACCAGCTGTTCCGCAAGAGAAAGATGAGGGTTTCTGCTCTTGTAAAGATTTACAGCCTTGGACATTCTAGACAGGGTAACCCATAGCATATAACCCAGTTAACTAGGTTTGTGAAGGAGTCCTGGTGTGGTGCCTTAGGATAAGCATTGGACTGCTGACCTCAAGGTCAGTGGTTCAAACCCTCCAGTTGCTCCTTGGAAACCTTACTATACAGGGTCTCTATGAGTAGGTACCAACTGTAACAAAGGCACTTAATAAGGCAATAAGCCTTAATGCGTAAATAGAGAATGGGATTTGAGTTATATTAACTAAATCCTTACAAAGGTGTTTTGTTGTGTGCTTATCCTACAGCACCCAGTTATGTATACTCTAATGGGTTCTTCTTTGTTTAAATCTTAACATTTATATGTTTTTCACTAAAAACTAATTACTATAGTGCTCCATAGTTAAGTTTAATGCTCAGACAATACTCTTGGTGTCAAAATGCAGGACCATATTACTATTTTACAGATAATTTTTATGGGAATAATTAGTTTTTTTGTTCTTTTGACATTAACATTTGACTTAATTATACTGATGTACTTTCTAATACACATGAATGGCAAGAATAGCCTCTTTTGAATCAGTGCTAAGACTTTTTCAGTATGAAGTGCTTCCCACAGGGTTCTGCTGGAAGAGCCAAACTTCCATCATAATGAAATTGCAAATCCATTTGTATATGCCTCTTATATATTTAAAAGCTACTTTGTGAAATTTATTATTTAAGGTCACAAATATATAATCCTGACTAGACCAATTTGTCCTAACCCTTTATCCAGCATTGAGCAAAGAAAGATACATGGCCATTGTGTAACAATGATATACACAAGCCACAATTTGTTCCCAGATAAATATAATCTCTTAATCTACTGCCTTGTATTTTCTTACCTTCTTAGCACCCCTCTTATCTAGAAATTACTAAATTACAGGTTTTAAATTACTGACAAGCACTGTCTTCGGATGAAAATGATGTTTAAACACTTTTAATGCTATAATGAAGAAAGTTATTATTTTAAATAAAAATATGAATTATTTTTGCATTTACCCCCATTCTTTGGGATAGGTAATTCTGTGATGTGTTTATTCTGTGGTTGCATTTGTACTGTTAATATGACCACTAACTAGATCATATTGTATAATTGGAATGAGTTTGTAAATATCTTAAACATCTTTGTGTACAAGAATTAAGTTCTTTTTTTTTTTGAGATTTTTACCGCCTCTAGTAAAAATGAATTTTATTTTAAATTTGTAAGCTAGATTTCTATTTTTCTGTATTTCTCTTACGGTTTTTGATTCAAAAAGCTTACAGAGAGAGTTGACCAATTAGATTTGGGACTGTACTTTTTATTCAAAACTACCCAGGACGCCTGGTACCTTAGAATAAGTGCTGGACTGAGAACCACGAAGTCAGTGGTTGAAACCCACCAGTCACTCCTCAGAAACTTTATAAAAGGTCACTCTGAGTCAAAACTGACTCTATGGTGCTTAACAACAACATGAAAATACATTAGAAAGCCATTGTGTAGCTAATATTTATAGATTCTCACCAAGGGATTTGCTACTATAAAGGCCCTTTCTCATACTTACAAAGCAAGTTCAAAACACTAAACAGCATCAGGATAATGCAAGAATAGTCAGTAATGGTCCTGTTTGAAGATTCTGTTTAAATAATTATAGCATAACAGAGAATCCTTTTTTTTTTCTTAATTATTATTAAATAGTTTGAGTAAAGGGACTACACTGTTTCAGGAGATTGTATAAGAGAAAAATATGAATTTGAGCCAGACAAATTATTTTTGAGGGAAGGATTGTGATTCTGGCTGTGATTCTAAAAATACCATGTGATTTTTAGAAAATTAGTACACTTTTTGAGCCTCTGAGTGACTATGGGATAGAACAGGCAATAACAGCTACAGTATAGAGAAATACTATAGCTATTCATAGAGTTGTGATATCATTAAATGACAAAATATATGCTAAATGCCCAAAACAGTGCCCAGTAATAGTAAGCATTTAGTAAGTATGATTTGGAAGCCTCTCTCTCTCATCTTGCACCTCCTCCCCATCTATGCACCTATAGCCTGGTCACAGTGGGCTAAACTCTGGGCTATTAGCCACAAGGTCAACAGCCTGAATCTACCAGCTGCTCTGTGGGAGAAAGACTTATACTCTCTGAAACCTAGTACAGGGTTGCTGTGAGTCCAAAGGAGTCCTGGTGTGGCGCTGCAGGTTAATGCGCTGGACTACAAGGTTAGTTTGAACCACAAGGTCTGTGGTTCAAGCTCACCAACTGCTCCTCATCCTCAGGAACCCTATACAGGGTCACTGTGAGTCAGAACTGACCCGGTGGCACTTAACAACAACAATAACATGAGTCCAAACTGACTCAACAGCACGCAGCAGCAGTGCTAAGAACAGTGCCTGGATTATGGTGTCTGTTCTGACTGGATTTAATCAAAAGTTAAAACTGCAGAACTAGACTTGAAGTCTTTCTGTGCCTGCCAACACTACATTACTCTGCATTCATTGAATGAATAAGTATAAAGAAGTCAGGACCTTGAATTGACCTATGCATAATACCCAGCAGGTGTATGTGGCCTTTTTCTTCACAGCAAATTGCTCCCCCAGGGATTGGAGAGAATGAAGAATGCTCCACTCCCAGCCCTCATTTTAAATCCCAGTGGAGCCCTTAGAAGATTTACTTAAGTCTCTCTTCAACCTACAGATCTGAGAGTTTAGCCCTAAGTCATGTTAATTTAACATGGACAAGCATTATCATTTTAATCATTTTGTGCAAGATAGCTTGCTTTACTTGTTTGACCATATGTGATACTCAGACTATTGTCCTAAAAGATTTTCACACTTAAAAAGTCTCATATGAATTTTTAAATAATAGTTTTATATATTACTTTATATTACAAAATAGACTGCTTTATGATTGTAAATTTTTGTTTTAGGTGCAAAGATGGTTTGAAAGGGTTTACTTTCTCGGCACTTAGGTAAGTAAAGCATTTAATTTATGTTTATATTAAGAGAGAATTTGTAATTTATCCTCCCCAAATAATGTCCGTAAATAATTATAATAAACATTGACTCTGTTTTTAAACGGAAAGTAATCTTTGAAGTCACAAAAGTATTTTCAAGCATTTGTAGATACATAATCATAATCAGATTTCATATCAGAATACATAATCAGATTTCATATTTTTTTCTTCTGAAAATCAGCCAGACAACAACTATGGCAGTGAGTTTGGTCTTTTGAGGTTTGTTATTATGTGTCTTATACTGTGTGGTGTAATAACTCTTTCTTCAAGAACCTTGAGAAGACAAAACTATACATGGACATTTACCAAAAAAAAACCCTGCTTAATTGTGTGGCCCTAATTATGGACTTGTTTAGGGCAGGCATTATGAGGAAACACAGTTGGGGAGTAGTAGGCTTTGAGAGAATCTTTCACCTCATATTCTGAATGTTTGCATGAGGTAGATACGCAGGAAATATTAACATTAGGTTTGTCATGTTTCACATAGATTATGAGATTAATTTTAGACAAATGTGCAAGACAGGTATGTTTATTATGCCTGTGTAACATCAAATTGACAGCATCTGTGGAAAGAGATAATGGGAAATCTCCATATCACCAGTCAAAATGAGGCCAGGGGAAGAATGTGAACCAGACCATCAATTGGTCATTTGCAAGTTCTGGCTAAAGCTGATGAAAACTAAAGCCAAAATATGACCTTGAACATATCCCATCTCAGTTTAGAGATATCTCAAGAATAGATTTGAAGCATTAGACACTAATGACTGAAGACCAGAAGAGTTGTGGGATGCCATCAAGAACTTCATACAAGTAGAAAGCAAAAGGTCATTAAGAAGACAAGAAGGAAATGACCAAAATGGATGTCAGAAGAGTCTGAAACTTGTTCTCCAGAGTAGCGATCCTAAAGCAAACTTAAGAAACAAGGATATAAAACAACTGAACATAAAATTTCAAAGGTCAGCTCAAGAAGACAAAGTCAAATATTATAATGAAATGTGCAAAGGAGTTAGAAAACCAAGGTGGAAGACTACATACAGCATTTCTTGAGCTAAAATTAGAACTGAGGGAAAAAATTCAAGCCTTAGCTTGCAAAACTGAAGAGTTCTCTGGGCAAAATATTGAATGATGCAGGAAGCATAAACAGAAGATGGAAAGAATTCATAATCACTGTACCAAAACGAAATGATCAAAGTTCTTCCATTTCAAGAGATAGCATATGATCAAGTGCCAGTGATACTAAAGGAAGAAGTCCAAGGTACGCTGAAGGCATTGGCCAAGAACAAGGCTCTAGGAATTGATGGAATACTAATGGAAATCTTTCAACAAAGTGATACAGCACTGGAGACATTCACTCATGTATGCCAAGAAATTTGGAAGACGACTATCTGTCTGACTGATTGGAAGAGATCCGTATTTGTGCCCATTCCAAAGAGAGGTGATCCAACGGAATGCGGAAATCATTGGACAACCTCTTTGATATCCCGTGTGAGTCAAGTTTTACTAAAAGTAATACAAAAATGGCTGCAGGCATACATTGACAGAGAACTTCCAGAGGTTCAAGCCGAATTCAGAAGGGGCCGTGGAACGAGGCATATCATTGCTAATGTTCGATGGATCTTGGCTGAAAGCAGAGAATATCAGAAAGATGTTTACCTGTGCTTTATTGACTACGCAAAGGCTTTTGATGGTGTGGATCATGACAAGCTATGGACAACATTGCGAAGTGGATCATGACAAGCTATGGACAACATTCTGGAACACTTCATTGTGCTCATGAGGAAGCTGTGCATGGACCAAGAGGTAGTTGTTTGAACAGTATGATGTCTTGTGTCAGGGAATGGTGATCAAGGTTCCTGCAACAGTAGGACAGTGGAGGTATATTGTTGGCTGTGCCAACTGAAGGAAAACTGCTTCTGGTGAGCCTTCAAAACCGGAATTGAGAAAAAGACAATGGCCAGATCAATAGCTGCTTAATGGGTACCAGGAGGTGTATTAATTTTCTCAAGTAATGAATCAACATCTGGAACAGCAGATGCAATTGTAGTTACCATCTGGTTAAGTTTCTTCAAGATCCATCTGATTTTATTTTGCATAGGCCAGTTAAGACAGGTTAGTGGGCATGTGATGGGAATCACCATCCCTGCATCCTTCAAGTCCTTAATTGTGATACTAATCTCTGCAATACCTCCAGGAATGTGATAATGCTTTTGGTTTGCTAATTTCCTAGGTAAAAGTAGTTCTGTTGACTTCCACTTGGCTTATCCTACCATAATAGCACTTATTCCATCCTTCAGAGATCCAATGTGGGATTTTGCAAGTTGCTGAGTATGTCTATTCTAATAATTCATTCTTGAACTAGATAAATCACTACCAGATGAGTTTACGGACCCACAGCATTGACTGAGAGACAAATCTTAGCTAAGACTCCATTTGTAACTTGACCTCCTTACACCCTACTGTGACCAGTGGTATTTAACAATATTAACAAATAGGTGATACTACAGGGAAGGCCTCAGACAATTGCTGTCCCAGAAGATAACCTCAGATAATGAGTCATCAGGTCCACTGGTTAATCATCAGAGAATAAGAGGACTGGTTCTGTTAGCAGAAGTGAGTCAATGGAATTTATAGGCTCCGTGTCCCCCAGCTTCCTGATTGTCTGTCTATGTGTCCCAAAGAGCAAGAATCTATAGATGCAATCAAGGATAACATATACAAAACTAGGGGAAATTCAGGAAACAAACTGCCAAAATAATTGTGAAAAAATGGGAACCATGTTTAAAAACAGCAATTAGAAAGCAAGATGTTTAAAACTAAGACTTCTGGAGTAAATACCACACTGAAAGGGCAAAGAAGAAAAATCAAAATTCATCTGGTAGTGGAACAATCAGACAACAGAACACGAAAATCCAAAGAAAGCCTCAGATTTATGTGGACACTATCAAGAGGAATAGCTTACATTTACTATAAGTTCCAGACTAGGAAGATATAAAAAAACCCATAGAGAATACTATCTAAGAACTGTTGAAAGAAAAGTTTCCTAATGTCATGAAAGTTGAGATGATAGTTATTTAAGAGGTTGAATGAATTCCAAACAGGATAGACCCCAAAAGACATACACCAAGACATACTATAATCAAACTAAACACAACCAAAGACTAGGACAGAATCCTGAGAGCTCAGAAAAAAAATGAAATGTTACCTAAAAGGAGAACTAGTAAGACTAAGCAGTTAATTAACTCTGAAAGAAACAGATTGGCGACCTAGAATCATATAGCCAGCAGAAGTGTCCATCAGATGTGACAGCGAAATTAGGTCATTTTTGGACAAACAGAAATTAAAAGAATTTGTAAAAATTAAGCCAACCTTACACAACAACTACTAAAGGGCATCCTTTGGATAGAGAATCAACAACAGCAGACAACAACCAGAGACTAATATACTTGAGCATATCATCTAGACTCAAACGAGTAAAACAGACCTATAAAGCTGAAAATAGAGAACCAGAAATACAGTTGCAACAATAACAAAATCCATAAAGTAAAAAGAAGGAATAATGTAATTATAGAACTTCTAGATGAAGAAGAAACTAAATAGATTTCAAAAATAAAATAAATAAAAATAAACCTAACTATAACCCTAAAACCTAGACCAAGCCTTACTCCTAGCCCTAGTCCAACCCTTAACCCTAACACTCTGAAGATTTCCACAAACTTCTTCAATCTGAAATTGATCATTACTGGTGATTGGAATGCAAAGGTTGGGAGCAAAGAGGAAGGATCAGTAGTTGGAAAAAATGGCCTTGGTGATAGAAATGATACTGGAGAACACATAATAGAATTCTGCAAAACCAATGATTTCTTCATTTCAAATACCTTCTTTAGACAGCATAAGAGACGACTATACACATGGACCTCGCCAGATGGAACGCATAGAAATCAAATTGACTA